TCTCTCTGAACCTCCCTCCTCTCATGCTCTCTATCTCATTCTCTCTCTCAAATAAATAAATTAAAAAAAAAAAAAAAAGAAAAAATCTTTAAAAATGATTGACCATTTGGGCAAAACTAGACTATCTCCTGGCATCATTACTTACGGACCACGAGGAGGCTACAGCTGTAACATAACCACAAGTAGAATCACCTATTAAAGGGGAATAACCTCTTCGTGAATGTTGAATAAATGAAGAGATAACATAGCTCAAAACCCTAATCAATATCTCAGGTATATAATTTTACCATAACTCATAATCATATTTTATTTTCCTCTTTTTAATATGCCAAAATATGCTTTTGGTGGGAACTGTTTAGGAAGTGAAGCTAGACAATAATGGTCTGGAGAAAATCTGACTACTTGCTATTATTTGCTTGACCTGCATAAAAGCTATTATTTTACTTCCCTGTAACTAACAATATTAAAATTTATTTTTCTAAATATAAGTTGCACCAACTTCACATTTATATATGTTTTAAAATAGAGAAGATTTACTTTTCATTCCACTTATTCCTGCTGGCAAACTCTTCAGCTGATTACTGGAAAGATTGAGTCGTACCAGACTGGAGAGAGAAGAAAAACTAGCAGGAACAGTTGTAAGACGATTGTTGGAAATATCCTTTAGAAAGAGAATGAATCAATCAATCAATCAATTAATCAATCGATAAATAAATAAGTAATTGATCCCTCAAAGGGTTTCCAGAATTTTGAGGAGAATGCAACATAAAGAAAGACTATTTCAAAGGTGATATGTTTTGTAACCCTCATTCACTGACAATTTCACCAGTTGTTTGTCATTCATTACCTCAGTATTCTATTAGACCACTATGTGCCGAGTAATGGAGCAGAAAGGAATCAGAATGAATTCTGACTTCAGAAATACTTTACATGAAGGTTTCTGTTATTACTAAGTCATGCTATATCATGCATCATGTTTTTAATTAAAAAATCCATTTGTCCATCTAATATTTAGTAAGTACCTAAGATAATTAGGCAAACTGTATAGGTAAACTGTAATATGAAAAGAAAAATGTCTTTGCAAGAGAAAAAAAATCTTGAGAGACAAAAAATAAAGCTGAGAAAATGGACATTTTAATTTTTAAGGAAAAAATATTCCCTCTCGGTTCTTCTGCAGACCTCAGCAAGTCTGCTGTGACTAAGTCCAGAAGTTTACTCTACTCTCTGCTTTTCCTTCATTCAAGCTTGCCTAATTAATGTCTATATCTGTTTTTTTAAGTCATTGTTTCTGTTTTTTCTTTAAAACATAAACAGTTAAGAAAGAACTGTTTTTTGAAACTCCATTTAAAAGACAATCAGATAACTCTTATGACATCTGAATTAGGTATAAGTACTCCACTAGCTATCAGCAAACTGTTAGGTAGGGCCAGTTGCAACAATGAATAAAAAAAAGTTACTTAAGGGAACTTGTTCTCTGAAGACGCATTTAGTCTAACATTAAACAATTACATTCTGTAACTCTAAATCAATTAAGAAGATAGTAAAAGGTAAAAACACTAGACCAGCTATTTTTTTTATAAAACACAGATATAACTATAAATAACACAAAATAATGTATCACAATCAACAACAGGAAACAACAATCTACAACTCCAATACTCTAAACACTAAGAATGAACAGATTACTATGAAATAAATACTTTGTAATATCAAAAGTTACTGACACTAAATGCAATGTAGTATTCTGGATTGGATCCTGGAACAAAAAAAAAGGACATTAGTGAAAAAACTGGGAAAATCTTAATAAAATCTGTAGTGCAGTTAGTAATACTGTACCAATGTTAATTTCTTAGTTTTTCAAATGTCCCATGGGTATGTAAAATATCAAATTAAGGAAAGCTAGGTGAAGAGTATATGGCAACTCTCTGTACTCTCTTTACATTTTGTAAATCTAAATTTATTTCAAAATAAAAAACTTAAAAAAAGTTTTTGATACAGAAAAGATACTAATTCACAAATTCTTAAGATAGTTTAAAAAACCCAAATCAACAAAATTACTAATAAAGTTAAACATTTAATTATTGCAGTTAATAATTAGATATAAAATATAAGTACATTATACATAAATTAATCAGTATTTATGCTGTCATTTCTTCAATAAATATTCATTTAGTACCATTGCTAAGCAGCTTTTATATAACTTTAAGAAATATTACTAGCTTAAATTATTAAACACGCTTATATTTCTAATGTTGTGATATACTGTTGCTCACATTTATGATTTGATACTGAGTCCTTAATAATACAATTCTCAACTGAAATATCCTTTCATTATGCAAATGACTATCCGGGAACCCATAAAAAGGAAACAACTGGGAACTGCTACAGTTTATTAGGTTTCCTTTCTAATCTAAATACTCTTCTTTTTTTATTTACCAATTGCTATCTTTTACCATTAGACTTTATAAGAAAATCTGATGGCCCCTTCCTTAGCCATTCATTTTATCTACCTATGCCTTTAACTTTCCAAACCTTATTTCCAATCTGATCAAATTGAAAGACAGATACTGAAGAATGGCTGCAGACGGTTATAAATGTTGATTTCAAACACTAGAGCAGATGAGGGGAATATCAAGGAAGATGTATTTACAGGAAAAAAGTAGAGGTAAAAGAATTAACTTCCCCTTTAATGAGAAATAAACTTTAAGACTAAATTGACATAAGTTTTTGAAAACATGTAATAGGGAAAACAGCAAGAATGTAAGAGGAAATAACTATGTGGAGTAAAGATTATATATTAGAACAAGTAATCTAACCTAGCTAGTCTTTCAGATCGAATATTTTAGTGGAATCTTACTCCTTCAGGGGTATAATGGGAGAAAAAAAGGGATACACTTTGGAGTCAAATTGACATGTTAAAATCCTGAATTCATTACTTATTCATTACATGGCTTCAGATAAGGTACTTTTTTTTTTTTTAATAAACTGTAGTTCCATATCTGTATTAGGGGATAAAACTATGTACCTTGCTATATGTAAAGCACAAAGCAAAGTGCCTATTATTTTCATTATTCTTAAAATAATATCTGTATTGCTTTATGGTTATCTCTAGGATGTGACATAGATGGAATGAAAATTTTGCGAGGTAAGGTGGACATTTTGAAAAATAGGGAAGAAAAGGCAGGCCTTAAAGGGACCGTCTGAACACTCAAAGGACAGGAGGAGGGTTATAGGGACAATAAAGAAGGAATGGGTATACAAATGGAAATTCATATATGCTAAAGACACCTTTCCCCTATTTTGCAAAGCCATAAAATCCTCTGAATAAGAGTCATCCTTATCACCCCCTTCCACACTCTACTCTTAAATTAAAACCTAAGGTGATTTTATAAGAAAAAATAGGAAAAATAAATTTACAATTACTAATTTAGCAATCTAATTGAAATGCAGTTTCTGATAATCTAGTCCTATAATCATCTGTCCATGTTTTTCATGATTTCAATCATACATCCAATTTCTCAGCCTGATGAAAAATCACATCAGCCCCAAATTATATAAAAATTGGAAAATCACAACTTACCAAATCTTCTAAATTGAAAAGTTGTTCAAATCCCTCTGGAATGCAAGTTAGTTCATTATGCTGGAGATATAGACCTTTCAGGTTTCTTAAATTTGTAATTTCTTCAGGAAGTATTTGCAGTTTGTTATGGCTATTGATTGATAAAATAAATGCTGAGTAATTCAGTAACAACATAATAAAAATTTGTAAAGGTATTTTTGCTAACCAACTACATGGGCTCATTTTTAAAAATGAAATATGGTTACTAATTCTAAAAACTTATCAAACTTCACATCCTAAAAGTATATAACTCATTAAGATTATAGTCATCTAAAGTAATCAAATTGAGAGTTTCAAAGAAAACAAAGAAATAAAGGTTTTTATTTTTATTTTTTTTAAAAGATTTTTATTTATTTGACAGAGAGAGACACAGCAAGAGAGGGAGCACAAGCAGGGGGAGTGGGAGAGCGAGAAGCAGGCTTCCTGGTGAGCAGGGAGCCTGATGCGGGGCTCGATCCCAGGACCCTGGGATCATGACCTGAGCCAAAGGCAGACGCTTAACGACTGAGCCACCCAGG